GCCTTCCTCACCAAGCTGTGGACGCTGGTGGAGGACCCCGACACCGACTCGCTCATCTGCTGGAGCCCGGTGAGTGGCCGCCCCGCCTCCCGGGGGGGGGCTCGGCCTGCTCTGAAGGTCCTCGTGGGGCCTGGGGCACCCAGGGTCCGTCACAGCAGGCTACAAACCCGCTCGAGGGGCGTTGCACGTTGCCAAGCGTTCACGTTATAGCCGGCCGACTTTTATTTTTTTGTAGCTGGACAGCCATTTTTATCCTGCGAGCGCTACTTTGCACCCGTGGCCCGTCGAAACCGTGCCGTACGGTTCGCCAGTTAACGGTGTGATGATTACTTCACATGCGCGGCTGCTCTTCATTTGCACGTGCGGCCGGTCTAAACGTATCACCTGATTTGCCCATTAACAGTGCAATGATTACTTTGCACGTGTGGCCAGTGCAAGTTGATTGCACGATTCACTAGTGAACAGGGCGACGATTGCATTGCATACGCAGCCGGTCTTCCTTGGTGTGTGTGGCCAGTCTAAATGTACTGTGTGATTCGCCAGTTAATGGTGTGGTGATTACTTTGCACGTGTGGCTTGTGCAAATTTATTACCCAAGTCACTAGTTAACAGTGCAGTGGTTACTTTGTACATGCGGCCCGTGCAATTTTAGTTAACAGCACAGTGGTTACTTTGCACATGTGGCCAGTGCAAATTTATTGCACGAGTCACCAGTTAAGTGTGATGATTATTTTGCACTTCAAACCAGTCTAAGCGTATTGTGCGATTCACCATTTAATGGTGTAATGCTCACTTTGCATTTGTGGCCAGCGTAAGTTTATTGCAAGATTTGCTAGTTCATGGTGTGATGATTACTTTGCACGTGTAGCCAGTCTAAATTGATCACACGATTCAGCAGTTGAGTTTGATTATTTTGCACATGTGGCTCTTCTAAATTTATTGACCAATTCTCCATTTAATGAGGTGAAGATTACTTTGCATGTGTGGCTGGTCTAAACATTGTGCGATTCACTAGTTAATGGTGTGATGATTACTTTGTAATTGTGGCCAGTGTGAATTTATTGTGCAGTTCACCAGTTAACAGTGGTGATTTTACCTTGCACTTGTGGCCAATCTTACTCGGCTTGTGTGGCTGGTCTAAACTTACTGTGCAATTCAGTAATTAAGAGCGTGATGATTATTTTGCATGTGTGGCTGATCAAACTTTATCACCCAATTCACTGTTTAATAGTATGATGATTACTTCGCACTTGTGGCTGCCCTTACTTTGCACGTGTGGCCAGTCTGTATTGTGTGATTCACCAGTTAATGGTGTGGTAATTACTTTGCATGTGTTGCTGGTCTAAATTTATTGTACAATTCGCCTGTAAATTGTGCCATATACGTGACTTGTAGCAGGGGCCTGGTCTAGGCCTATGCAGTTTAGAAAAGAGATCCTTGAGGGAGAGATGTGATAAGGGTTTACAGAAGACAAAATGGCAAAGAGCAAGTCAATAAGGTTTTATTATTGACACTCACCATGCAAGAATGTGGGATCGTGAAATAAACCTAGGAGGTAGTCCATTTAAAACTAACAACAGGGGTTTTTTTGCACAGCATGTCAATAGTCTGGCTGACAGTTTAGCCAGATTCACAAGGGATTGGACACATTCTTGGAGGCAAAGGGCATCAGTAGCTATGGGGCACGGGCTCTGCATCAGACATGCCTGGACCCTACATGCCGTAGGCTGCAAAGGAGAGAGGAACAGGGGGAAGTCCGTGGTCAACCCAGTTCACTCTCCCTTCCAGCCTCTGCTCTCTGCCACTGTGCCATACAGGACACTGGGCAAGGTGGATCTAGCGCAGAGGCAGGGGGGGGCCTGTGATGGGCCCCATTTCCCAGCAGCCCCTGCCTGTGTATCTGTGGCTGGCTTCCATGGAGACCCCAGCAGGGGCAGTGCTGTCACAGTGCAGGGCATAGAGACCAGCCCCAGCAGCGCTGGTAGGGCGCACAGCCGGGCAGAGAGCTCCTCCAGAGCTGGGATCTTGTGGCTGTGACAATGTGGTCCAGAGCTGGGGCAGAGCTACTGTCCACTGCCCACATGCCCCAAACAGGGGTGTGCAGGCAGCAGTTGGCGGCTCTGCCCCGGTTCTGGACCACACCGTCATTACTGCAAGATCCTAGCCTCAGCCGCAGAGCAGCTCCCCGCCCAGCCCACACCCTGCCAGCACTGCTGGGTCAGACTCCATGGAAACCCTGGCCCCACACTGTTACAGCGCCACTGTTGCTGGGGGCTGCTAGGAAATGGAGCCCAGCTGCTGGCTGAATCCCCCATTTTGCTCACCCCTGATCTAGGGTCTGACCCAGTAAATGGCAGTTCTTATGTTCACTAACTTTAGTTAATCATTTTTATGACATGATACTTACTTTGCAAGTGTGTTCAGTCTCCATTTAACCTGCAATTGACCAATTAATTGCATAATACATGTACCATAGCAGGGGCTGGCATAGTCCATGGGAAGACCAGTCTCCATGAACAGGGAGGCCCTGTGTTATAGTTGGGAAGGAGTGGGAGACATTTTTTCAGCTGTTTTCCGAACTAGGTGGTCAGTTTTCCTTTAGCAGTAGTTAGCCACATTCATGTGAAGTCAAGCAAAAGGCAGGGTAGATTTGCACCTTACAGGTTAACTACATTAGAGCTGACATATAGCACAAATTTCCTGAACTGGAGCTCACTTTGTCATTCCAGCTCCTGAAAACTTGTGCTGTATGTATATCTCTAATTTAGCTCATTTATAAACTACAAGCCTACCTGTCTTCCAGTTTTCCTTGTCCAGTTCTTTTCTTCTATAGAATAAAGACTTCTGCTGTTTGTTTGGTTGGCTGTCTGTGGTAAAGTATGATATTCCAAGCAAACCTCTCTGGGTTTCTCCTCTCCGTAGAAATTTTGTACAACCCTGAAGAGAGCTATTCTGGAGCTAGCAAAGATTTCCTTGTAGCAGCTATAGAGTCTGCTGTGAGGGCAGGTTGAGTTGAGGCTTGTGGGGAGGAGGAGTCATCCTGGGGGAAACCATAGTCTGTTCCTTGAGATTAACAGCAGGTAGTTAGAAAACTGGAGCTCTGAAGGACCGCCCCAGTCGGGTCTGTGACGCTTCCTTCATATCATAACTTTTTTTGTGCTTTAGCAAAACGGTCTCCATTTTCATTGTGATAGGAGCTGGCAGAGAGCTCCTGCTATCTGACTGTCATGTGATGATGCAGACTTTTGCATCTCATTGCTAATAGGTTGTTTCACGTTCATATAGCATTACTCCTTGACACACAAGAATTGGCACAAAATAGTCACTTGTTCTATGGGTAAATTAAAAAAGGAAATTTAACATTTGGCTCTTATTGTTTACATTCCCACATGTTGTGTCATGCCGTAAAGGTAGCTGAAGCAATTACCTGAAAGACTTAAATTGGTGTATTTGGAAATGAGATGTGGCATTAACTTTGCTTGTATAGGTTAGCTGGACCGAAACAGTGGGAATTTTAGGCCTCTTTGCATACATGGACTTCTTAACATCTCAACTTCTGAGATGCAGCTTGTGTCCTAATGTAAACCAGACTGCCTGCCTGCTGGCACTCAGATATTTTGGTTTGGTTACTGCGCCAAGTTGCTTCATTTCTTTGAGTTTCTTTGTATTTGAAAGATCATTGTGAGGGTGCTTGAGGGAAGCTAAATTTTACACAAGAGCACTGTATTAATAATATTTGAGCTCTAGAAATCTTGCTGTTCTTTTATGTCAATAGTAGAGCTTTTAAAATCTTGTTTTAAGTGCAAGCAATAAGAAAACAGTGGTCAGTACTGCCTTTGTGGTGAGTAGTTAGTTTTTGTTCTCACTGTCTTCTCCCACCATTTTTCTCTGTTCTTTGCACAAGCACTTTGTTCCATTTAGCAAGAAATAACCATACCGCCTTGTGCTATGCACTGCGCTAGTACTGGGTAAGATGTAAAACCCAGGCTCATAACTTTAAACTTCAATGCTCACTCTCATAAAAAGTAGTCATTAATCTTGGTGTCATTCTTGAGCAGGGGTGGGCAAAATGGCAGATCTGGGCTGGCAGCTGGACTCCATTTCCCAGCTGCCCCTGCCCATGTTGCTACAGCTGGTTTCCATGGAGACCCCAGCAGCAGTGGGGCCCTGACAAAGGGGGGTGGGCTGGGTTTCCATAGAGACTGGTCCCAGCAGTGCTGGCAGGGTGTGTGTCCAGGCGGGGAGCTGTTCCATGGCTGGGCTCTTGTGGCCATGACAGCATGGTCCAGAGCAGGGTCAAAGCCTGCCTGCATCTGGATGCCCCGCCTCTGGACCATGCTGTCACCACTACAGGATCCCAGCCCTGGAGCCGCTCCTTGCCCTGGAGCAGCAAACCCTGCCCCTGCTGCTGGGGTTTCCATGGAAACTGGCTGCAGTGAAGCTGTCGGGCTACTGGGAAATGGAGTCCACCGCAGACCCAATCCGGCCCGTGGGCAGACTTTGCCTGCCCTCATTGCAAGCAAAATGTAATTCATTGTGGAGTTTTACTTAGGATACAGTCATTATTCATTTACAAACTTAAGCTGTTGCTTAATTACTGTTTGCTGTAAGTAGCTGCTGTGTTCCACTCTAAAAGTGGAAGCATTCATAGCTGTAGGAAGTAATATCTCTTCATGTGCTTTTTGGGGTTGAAAGAAACTACAGGCAGTCCTCGGATTTATGGCACATATGGTTCCTGAAAACCGGGTCTTAAGTCAAACCATTGTAACTCAGAACCAATTTTCTCATAAGAAACAATGTTATAAATGGGGGATTGGTTCCTGAACCAAGGCCCAATACCCTATTTTACAAGGCCCAATACCCTATTTATACACCTACTGGTGTACAAAATACACCAGTATATCTATTAGAGATGAGTAATTACTCCATCAATTAGAGATAAGCTACATTAATGTATTTATATTGTAAATAGCAATTATATTGCTTTGGAAGGACTTTGAGGTGACTTTGCTGGACTTTTTGAAAGGCTCTTGGTTGGACTTTTTGAAGTCTTCTCAGGAGTCTTGGCT